TAGGCAATTGGACATCCTCTTACAGAAGGGTCGCAGGGAGAAGACAGGCCAGTCAGGGTGCAGTATAGCACCAATGAAACACACACTTTTCCTCTGGTTCTTTAATGCTTCCTCACCCCCACTATATGACCCTATTTCTACCTTACAAATCTGGCTAGACCAGAGCATGTACATGGGTATGGATAAGAGCTGGAAACACAGGGAACACAGGACAGATAAACTCCTTAGGACCAATATTGAGAGTGGCCATACCAGGAGGGGAAGAGGAAGGTAGGGGAAGAAAGGGGAAACTGATCACAATGGCCTACCTATAACCCCCTCCCAAGGGATAGACAACAGATAAGGGGATAAAGGGAGACACTGGACAGTATAAGACATGGAAAAATAATAGTAATTTATAAATTAACAAGGGTTCATGGTGGTGGGGGGGATTGAGGAGCTAATACCAAGGGCTCAAGTAGTAAGAAGATGTTTTGAAAATGATAATGGCAACACATGTACAAATGTGCTTGGCACAATGGATTTATGTGTGGATTGTGATAAAAGTTGTATGATTCAAATAAAACAAAACCAAAAAAACCAAAACCACAAGCTAGAAAGATGGAGAACTAGAAACCACAAAAGGGTTTCTATACAATCAGAGCTGATCAGTACAGCTGTGAACAATGAGCAAAAGGCTCTATGCTCCAGGCTAAGAGATTACTGAATAAGGAATTAACTCTTATTATTATACAAAAGGTCGCCTCAAATAATGAGCATAGATAAATGAGGCAATTCACCACTGGAGAAGCAAACGGCCAGCACCCAGAAACATAAGCGCTCCACTTTAGTAACCACAGAAATGAAACAGAAACCACCTTTCACCAGTCAGGTACTTGTATAAAGACAAGTGCCATCTGGTGTGAACCTAGGGATAGGGAAAACAGGGGTTGGCTTGCTGGTGGGAGCTGGCTTGCTGAGATAACCATTCTGGCAGCACACACACAAACACACACATATGCTTTAGAAGTACTTATACATGATCAAAACCAGATAAAAACATGTGCGAGGACCATCATTTTTTTTTTTAAGGACCATCATTTTTAACAGTAAAAATGTATCCTTTCACAGAGTTCAAATGGATTAATATGCATGTTGATGTTAGTTGCCTGCGGGTCAATTCCAACTAACTCCCCACGTGTTAAGAGCAGAACTACCCCACAGGGGCTCTGTTTCCTGCACTTATTACAGAAGTGTGCTGCCAGGCCTGTCTTCCGTGGTACCACTAGATGGGTTTGAGCCACTAGTCGAGCACATACCATTAGTCTAAGGCACCGTGAAAAGGGACAGGATCTATTTATTTGTGTATGCCCTAGAGAGCGCCCAAGACAGAGGGGGCAGGACAGCTCCCTCGTGCATTTTTAAAAACTATGTGTACATGCATGAAAATTCCCAGGAAAAGGAGTAGGAAGATAAATACTGAATTACTAGCCATAATTAGCCCAGATGATAGAAGTGTACAGCAATAAAAGAAGTGTTTTCCTAAATTTCAAAAGAAAATAATTCTTTTTGAATCAAAGAATTCCTAGTTCTTAGAGCATTTCCCTCATGTCAGCCTTTAGAAGCTTCCTGAACAGAGGAGCTATTCCGGGTCACCAGTGTTACTCACAGCCTGGGAAGTGGACACAACTGTTGTGCTAACTGGCACTTGTCGCATACTGGGGGCTCCTGTGCCAATGCTGATGGGGGTGTTTGCAGCCCCCGACGCCACTGCCACAGTCTTGGACACAGCTGCATTCATAGTGGGCAAGGACACTGCAGACGTATGCACAGCTCCGGACCCGGTCGTCACTGAGGTGCCCTGCTTGGCATGGGCTGCAACTGTGATGGTCTGGCCTGCTTTGGGAGGCATCATGCCCAGACCCTGCACAATGCGGATAGTGGCAGCCGGCTTTGCTTCTGAAGAGGCCATTGTGCTTTTCCCCTTCTGGTCTGCCACACTCACACCAAGCGCTGGCATCAAGCGAAATGCTGAACTCGAAGTTTCTGCTGGCTTGAGGTCAGGAGTCACCTTGACCACCGTGGTGCCTGCTGGAGTTGAAGAAGGGGCACTGGCCGAGCTGGCCTTGGCAGGGCTCTCATTTGTGTGGACTGGGTTTGAGGTGACGTGTAAGGTAGCCGAAATGCCTTTGCCTGCAGTGCTACTTCCAGTCCCAAAGAGGTCCTGGGTCAGTTTGACTGTGGTGACCTGGGACTTGGCCAGCGTGGCCATCATGTCCGGAGTGATTCGCAGGACAGTCTGGCCTTTGGCATCAGTGGTAATGGAAGAGGGTGGCAGACGCAGCACATCCTTGCCCTGGATACGGAAGTTAGTGGCTGTGAGAGGGATGCTGTTGCCTGTTGGGGGCTTCACACCAAGCTGCCCGGTGATTGCCACCTGTAGGGAGAAGGAACAATATTGATGAAGGTGTAAAATAGTAAGCTGACCAGGAAGTATAATTTCACAAATAAATTTGTTTTAACTTTGAAAAATCATAAACATTCACAAAATTCCAACAAACAAACCAATCTCTGCTGTCAAGTCGATTATGATTCACAGCTTTAAGAACAGAGCAGAATTGCTCTCCTGGGATTCTGAGATGTTACATAGCAACAGGTATGCAGAGCCTATCTTTCTCCGTCGGAGCAACTGGTGGGTTTGAATCACTGACTCTGCAGTTAGTTGTTTGATTTTTAGCCCCACTACACCACCAGCGTTCTTTCATTGACAAAATAACAGAACAGCCTAACAAATCCATGTATCCCCACTCAATGACAATGCTTATAATTTTGCCGATCTTGTTCTATCTTTCCTTTCCTTTTGGCATGATTGGGGGCTGGGAAGGGAGTTGAGGAGAAGGAAGAACTAGAATGTTCTAAGAATATTAATAACTAGAACATTAGTAAACGCAAGATACGTCAGCTCACTAATCAATACTTCTATGCTCATCTCCAGCCTAATAAAAGAAAATTTTTTTAAATATAGCTACAATACTATGGGCAATACTGAAAACTACCCTCAATACCACCTAAGAAAACAGTATATACCATCATTTCCCCAACTATCTCCAAATTGTGTACTCACAGCTAAAACAACCACCGTTTGTAAGCAGTAGTATGGCAATAAGAACATGAGCTTTGGGGTTCGACTGTTGGATTCACACATCAACTCCACTAACTTACTAGCGTCTATCTGTGGTCAATCTTTACATGTAGCCCTGAGACAATCATATACATGGTTTACTCTACCAGGAATAGTACATTCCAGAGGAACAGTGTCACACTCATCATCAAAAAGAACAATTTAAGATCTATCTTGAAGTACAATGCTGTGATAAGATAATATGTATACATCTATAAGGAAAACTACCGTGTATACTCGAGTATAAGCCAACCCGAATATCAGCCGAGGCACCAAATTTTACCACAAAAACTGAATAAAAAGTGTGCTGAAAAACTCAGTTTATACTCGAGTATATACGGTAGTTAACACCACTATTAATCAAATTTATGGACCATTCAATAAAGCCAGTGAATAAGAAATTGAAGAATTCTACCAGTCTGAAATTGAACAAAACATGCAGTCAAGATGCACTGATAATTATTGGTCGTCAGAATTCAAGAGTTAGAAACAAATAAGAAGGAACAAAAGTTGAAAAATATGGGCATGGTGATAACAACAAAGATGGAGATCGTATAGCAGAATTTTGCAAAACCAGTAACTTTTTTTTCAACACAAACAACAACTATACAGCTGAATCATGCCAGATGGAATCAAACAACGACATGATGGGAGGAGATGAGGGAGACTCAGTCTCATCAGACAATGCCAGGGCCAAGCTGTTTCAACAGACCATCAACGACTCACACCCAAGTTCAGAGAAGCTGAAAATAAACAAATAAATACAAGTCAACAAGAGCCAAAATACAACCATGACTCTATCCCAGCACAATCTGGAGACCTAACAACAGACTGCGAGTGGGATGGCACCACTATCAGCATGCATGTAGAAAAAAATCAAAACAAAAACCAACCAAACTCACAGCCATAAAGTTGAGTCACATACTGATCTATGCAGCTCACAGCAGCCCTACAGGATAGAACAGAACTCCCCGTGGGCTTCTGACACTGGGAACTCTTTCAAGGGAGGAGAAAGCCCCATCCCTCTCCTGTGGAGCATCTGGTGGTTGGAATGGCAGCTGGAAGCCAAAAGCGTAACCCGTTATGCCAGCAGGGCTCTAAGAAGCAAGAAGTCATTAAAGCAACAGGAAAGAAAGACATTTTATGAATGTCACAAAAAATTGTGAAAACTTACTCTCGAAAAGAAAGCGCAAAAAGACCTGGAATTACAAAACCAAAAGGGAAGAACATGTTTAGCTTAAAGTGAAGAAAAAATTCATAAACCTTGAGTTGAAATATTAAGGAATTCTATAAGAAAAATATTGACTTATGCAAGAAGCATCAAAAGAAGAAGGAAGAGAAGAGAAGAGAAGAGAAGAGAAGAGAAGAGAAGAGAAGAGAAGAGAAGAGAAGAGAAGAGGAGAGAAATGGCCGCCAGGGAGCAACCATGGACGGAGCCTCTGCAAGCCCTGAAGACAGCCCAGCAGTTTGTCTCCAGGAGGCCCAAGGAAGAAGCAAGTTCCCTCCGTCTTAGGGGAAAGAAATCTTGTAAAATATGGTTCACCAGAAAATGATGATTCCTAATTCAACACTTAGTACTAAAGGTTAATAACAATTTTCTTTAATGGAAGAAATATATAGGGTCATTGAACTAAAAAATAATTATTGGTCAACATTCAACCATTTCAAGAGATAGCGTATGATCAAGAATTAATTATGCTGAAGGAAGTCATTGAAGACACTGGTGAAAAACAAGAATCCAGGAATCGATGGAATGCTGACTAAAATGTTTCAGAAAACTGATGCAGCACTTGCAGCACTCAGTGCTACATGTCAGAAATTTTGAAAACAGCTCCTTGGTCAAATATAACTGGAAGAGATTCATATTTGTGCCAAATCCAAACAAAGGTGACACAAAGAAATGAAGATTTGGGAACAATATGATCAATAACACATGCAAGTAAAATTTTGCTGAGACAATTAAAAAATGAATGCAGCAGTACACTGACAGGAGCTGCCAGAAATTCAAGCGGGATCCAGAGAGGCTGGAAACAGAGAAGACCAGGAAGATGTTCACTTGTGTTCATTGACTATCCCAAAGGCATTAAACTGCATGAATCACTAACAAACCACAGAAAACACTGAGAAGAATAGGAATTCCACAACACTTAATTGCACTCATGTGAAATATGTACATAGACCAAGAGGCAGCCATTTGAGCAAAACAAGGGAATAATGCACGTTTAACATTAGGGAAGGCGTGCATCAGGGTTGTATCCTTTCACAATACATTCTGAGGTTCATTAGCAACCTATAGATGACACAACCTTGCTTCCTGATGGAGCTATAATCAGTGCTCATGGAAGCCAGCAGTCAAGCAGTCAAAAGACTTCTTTTTAAAAAAAATTTTTTTAAAGTTTTATTGGCACTTCTTCTACATATCATACAATTCAATTGTTCAAGCATATCAAAAAAAGACTTCTTTAATGTCTTCAAGAGCAATGATATGAAAAGACATCTTTTTGTTCTGACCCAAACCATTTTATTTTCAGTTGCCTCCTATGGCCGTGAAAGCTGAATGATGAGAAGGAAAACGGAAGAACTGATGCATTTGCATTATGCATTGATGCCAGAAAAACAAACAAATCTGTTTTGGAAGAAGCAGTCAGACCTCTCCTTCAAAGTGACGATGGTGAGATTTCATTCTCTTGTACTTTGGATATGTTAACCAGGTAGGACTTAGAAAAGGAAACCATACTTGATAAAGTGAGGATCACAGACAATGGGGAAGACCCTCAATAAGACAGACTGACAAAGGGGGTGGACTAACACAGTGGCATCAACAATGGGCTCAAAAATAACATCCATTATGAAGCCAGCGCAGGACCAACAGTGTTTGTTTGATGAGCATGAGCCAACTTGATGGCAGCTTGGAGGCAAATTTTTAGCTTTAGAATGGAGTCACCTATAAAATAAACTGGGATACCCCCAAGGGATGTGCTCCATTACACACCAATTACACAAAATCAAACTGCACCACTGGGTAAAAGATGAGAAGGCAAGGAGTCATTCGCAGGAAAATGGATGGATAGAAATAGCAAGAGTGATGGCACTGACTGCAGGGATGGTACCACTGTCACGAAACCATTTATACATGAAGAGCTGGATGGGAATCTAATTTGTAGTGAAAACTTTCACCTAAATCACAACATAAAACAAATTTAAAAAAAGGTCTACGCCATAAAGCTGTTTAGCCACTGAGTCTGTTTCGACGCACTGTGACTCTGTGTGTAACAGAACGAAACACTGCCCAGCCCCTATGCCACCCTCACAACCCTCATGTGTGAGCTCTTTGTGCCGATCCATGTCATCGAGGGTGTTCTTCTTTGTCGCTGCCCCTCCATTTTATCAAGCCTGATGTCCTTCTCCAGGGACTGGCCTCTCCTGACAAGTCTCACCATCCTCGCCTCAAAGGAGCATTCTGACTGTCCTCCTTCCAAGACAGATTTGTTTGTTCTTTTGGCAGTCCATGGTACTTTCAATATTATTTGCCAGCACCATAATTCAAAGACATTTAATTTTTCTATGGTCCTCCTTATTTGATGTCCTATTTCCACATGCATATAAGGCAACTGTAAATACCATGGTGAGAACATCCCAGTGTTAAAGAGGATGGAATTATTTTTCTATCTATAAGGCCCTTAGGATGGTGCAAGGACCCAATAACTACTACGAGCACCAGTATTAGTAGCTGCTCTAACAATTCTTAGAGGTTTAATGGCTGTCTTTTTATATCCACATCAAAAAAGTAGTGTACTCTTAGCTTTTTCACTCATAGTCTACTCCGAATACCAAAGGCTCAGACAACACACAGAAATACTATATGGAAAGTAACAGAAGATAACTCTTAAGCTTTATACCGTCCTTGTTGGGAGCACACACCTGCAATCCCGATAAGTTAAGGAGTGAAGATCTAACGTCCTTTCCCAGATTCTCCCATCCAAAGAGTGTGTTCACTTACCTGCTTAATGATGCTCTGCCCTGTGACGTTTTGAATGACAGTTGCTGTGGAAGAACTTGGAGTCAAGCTTCCCGGGGAACTGGTGGCTGGCTTGCTCACAGAACTGGCAGTGGCAGTGAGGCCTGTTACTGTGAGCCCCGTCTGCCCAGCTCCAGGCCGCTGCACAGTGGTTGTGGTGGCCTGGGCTTTGACTGGAACAGTGGCCATCACTGTCTAGTTCGGAACATGAGGCCAGAATTCAGATTAGACACTAATGTGTAGATCAAGCAGAATCTCCACCACCCAAGTTACCTTTCCTCCTGATTCCGGCTGGGCCCCTTCACAACACAGCTTAGTTAATAATATTAACAGTGTGTGAGACTCACTGCTCTCTAAAATGAGCACTGTACATTGCTTGTATTTGTAGGAACTCTTAATTTTCAGTACACACTTACATGTAACACCTCATTTTCACCCTAATTATACACTAAAAATGAGTATTAATGTATTTATAATGCAATTGTAAATAGAGGTGAAGAATCTTTTCTAAAATTACACAACCAGTTACTATAATTCAGCCAAGAGCAAAGGCAGGCCCACGAATTATTACATGAGTTACTGCATTCAACATTAGCACTACTAACAATAATCTCAGGACGTGCCCATGTGGATCATGCAACCATCACTGGGTCCATTCTTCCTCCTTCCCAATCCCCCTCAGAGCCCCTGTTACCTGGGGCACTGCTTTGGTCTGTGCAGCAGTGGCTGGAACCCGGATCTGAGGCCCTGCTTGCATCTGTGACAGCGTCTGCGTGGATCCTGTGGACTGCTGGGTGACAGCAGGAAGGCCGGACTGGGCCACAACACGCACCTGCGGCAGTCCAGCAGAGCCAGAGTGACTCACTACCCGGGCAGCAGCTTGAGAAGTTGGTGGAGTCTGGCTGGAGGATGGGGAAAGCATTGTTCCCAGCTGGGGCATTGTGGGTGAGGACACCAGAAGAACACTAGGAGGAAAATCAAGAAAAAAAGCAAAAGACCTTAGGGCAGGAACACACAAGAATTTGAGGGAGAAAGCTGGGGAAGAAAGAGAAGCGCTTACCTCGAACTAGATTTAGCTGGCTCTGAGACGGTACTCGGAGCACTTTTGCTCACCGAGGAGACTGGTGGAGGGGAGAGAGGAGTAGCAGGCAAGGCTGGCGTGGTGGGAGTCACTGGAGTAACAGGGGTGGGCGGCATGCTGGAGTCACTGAGGCTCAGCGCGCTCTGCTCTGAGGAGCCACTCCCAATGACCTTCATCGAACTCTCCTTGCTATTAGACTTCTGCAAACAAAGGTACAGACAGTCCTGAGGGAGATTTCATGAAGGTTCAACTGAAGGAAGGTGTAGCTTCTGCAGTGCCTGAAATCAACAGGACAGATGTCCTACTGAGGTCACTTACCACTTTGGAGGGGGGCTTGGGTTTTTGTTGAAGGGCTTTCCTGGCTTTTGCTGCTGCTGCGTGTGCCTGGTGAATCCTCTCTGCAAACAAGAGTAAGTTTCAACAACAGCACTCTAAGGAGAATGGCATCATTAAAACCAAAGCCTCACAAAGACATTACTAAAGAAGAAAGTTACAGACCAACATCCCTTGGGAGCATAGAGGCAAAAATTCTCTGCAAAGTCATAGCCAATAACGTATCAGAATCCAATAACATATCAAAAAAATCACGACCAAGTAGGAATCATACCAGGTATGCAATGATAGTTCAACACTAGAAAATCAATCCATGTAATACATCATATAAATAAGCCAAAGGAAAAGAACCACAGCAGACACCAAAAGGACATTTGACAAAAGCCAACACTAGCTCTTGATAAAAACACAAAACAAATAGGAACAGAAGGGAAATTCCTTAACCTACTGAAGAGCATCTATACAAAGCCAATGGTAAACAGGACCCTCAATTGAGAAAAACGAAAGCATTTCCTAGCAAACAGGTGCCAAACAAGTATGCTCTTTACTCGCACTAAATCCTAGCGCCAACTTAAGAACAATTAGTTCTGACCTCATGCCCTGCTTGATACTCACACCCAGGGAGGGAACACAGAGGACACAGGTGCTACAGCAAAATGTAGTGAAGAAATTAGATGGTGCCCAGCTATCAGATAAAATAACGTCTGGTCTTAAACGCTTGTCTCCAAACAAGCACCCACCTAAGTGAAATGTCAACAAAAGTCCACAACGAAGAAGCACACCATCAACAGTCACCGTAGGATTGTATATCATATAATCTGAAGTCGAAGGAGGAATTAGTATCAGAGCAAAGCTATGGATGATGGTGGGAGCCCAAGATACATTTGTGGGAACTACATAAGAAAGAGGCCTTCGGTGAACTCCCTCTACCCACAATTGAGAGATGGGAGGAAAGTGGTTACTTACCAGAGTGCCCTGGAGAGATGCGTATAGAAGATCAAAGGGATAAACCTAACTTGAACAGTTGAGCCCCCATCTGCTGCTGCACATGATCTAATTTTCAATAGTTTCTGTATTTGTTTCGTTTTTGCTTGTTCATAATAGGATTTACCTCAGAGGTGTCATTTCACTGGGGTCACCCTCTCGAAGCTGTGTTACATGTTCTTGTTTTTCACTATATGAAACCCAGGGCTGATGAACCTATAGGGACAGCATGTAGAACAGGGTTTGGGGGAGAGTGGGGTTCAGTGGTGGTAGTGGGTTCGGTTCAAAAGGGAGACGACGTCAAGGAATCCAAGAAGAAAAAGAATACTTGGAAACTGACTGTGGTAGCGATTGTACAATACTGCTT